AGCATGGGCCTCCTGCCAGCTGTAGGTGCCCCCACGGGGATCCAGAAAGGCGAGCAGGGCCTTGGCCTGGGCGTGGCCTCTGGATCCCTGCCGCCTCCTTCCTCCGTCCTGAGCTTGCAGGAGCCTCTGGGGAGGGGCGGGGGAGCAGGGGGCTTGCATGGGGCACTCCGGGCCGCATCACTCCTCTCCTCACCCCTGGGGCCCCGTCCTCGCCCTGGACTCCACAACCCGCCTCCACACACTTGCCCAGGAGGCCCCGCCCTGTGCTCTGCCCACACGTGGGCAGGGAGACCCTGGGCGACTCCGCCAGCCTCGGTCCTGGCCCCACCTGCAGCATCGCCACATTCGTACTGTCATTCAGGAAGTTGAAGAGCTGGGGTCCCAGGGCACCCCACACCTCCTGGATATCCTTCAACAGAGCCAGCTCCTGGAAGGTCCGGTTCACCTGTGGGAGGGGGGCACCAAGACAAATGCGGGGCCAGCCCTTTCACGATGCCCCCCTCCTCTGAGCACCTGCCCCCCTCCTCCCCAACCTCACCTTCTCCCGCTTGGCCCCACTGTGCCTCTGACCCCTGGCACACGCTGTCCCTCTACCTGCCACCTGGCAGACTTCTTCAAAACCCTGCTTCCACACCCTCCCGGGGCAGGGCCCTCCCTCTGGCCTGGCCCACGCTCGCTGGGCTGAGGGAGGGGCCCAGGACCACTCCTGCCCTTACCTGGGCCATGAGCTGCCTGGTGAAGGCAGTGTTGGGTGTAAACAGCAGTTTCCCCAGGACCAGCGGCTTCAGACGCCTCCAGAGCAGGCGGGACAGCGGGTGGGTTTCCAGTGACCCCACGAGCTCAGCACAGGCAGGGCCTGGGGTGGGGGCACCATGAGGCCCTGCCCCCACTCCCAGTGCCCCACTTCCCAGACTGGGAACAGAGGTCAGTCACTCACTCAGGCCCTCGTCGGGTAGGGCTGCTGCCGGCTCTTGCCCCGCCAACTCCTTCAGGTGGCTGGCCTCGTACCAGTTGAGGGAGAGCCCCTCTGGGATGCTAGGCCCCTGGGCACTGCAGAGGGCCTCTGTGACGGCCTCCAGGGGCCCAACTGCTCCTTGGGGTCTCCGCAGCAGTGCCCGCAGCTCCACCAGGCTGGGCAGTGCCAGGAGCTGGAGAGAGGTCACCAGAGGATGCTGGTAGCCCTCCCTGCCAGCAGCAAGCCTAACCAGGGCTAGGCACCCTGCCAGGAGCACCTTCTCCCTCTCTCCTTCTGCCCAAGCCCCCCCAAAACCTACCAACGGAAGTGCCTGGGCTGCCCTGTCACCGGCCATCCAGGCAGCCTACCCTTTCAGTTTGCTGGCTGGGGTGGACGATGAGCGGGCCGCTTACCTCCTGGGCCAGGTCCTCTGCTGCCTCCACAAAGCTGCTCACGGACTCCTGGACGTGGTCTGGCACAGACCCCAGGGATCCCTGGGGTAAGAAAGACGCAGGGGTGAAAATGACCTTGACAGAGTTCTCACTAGGGGTCGAGCACTTTGCCAGGCTCTACTCCGTGCAGGGCCATACTATTATAGACTCCGTTTTACAAACGGGGAAGTAGAGGCTGCAAGGCACGTGGACTCATTCAAGATCTCATGGGCTGGACACATGCTAGACACGGCCTGTCTGGGCACTAACAGGACGAGGAACGTCACTCCAGGCGCCAGGGACAGCCCAGGCAAAGGCCTGGAAGCTGGTATCAGAGGCCCCTGCCCCAGGATGGGGAAGTACCGGGACTTCCTGAGAGCAGCTTCCCAGAGTCAGCCCGGTCCCCACCCCATCTCACCTCTCCAAGCAGTGTCCCCAGTAGCTCCATGGTCAGGGGTAGTAGGTCCTGCAGTCGGTCGCTTGGCTGAGGCCGGGCTGGGAGAAGAACACACAGAAGCACGAGCTTAGGCAAAGCCTAGCCTGAGACAGCCCTACCCTGTACCCATTACACAGCCTGGCAGATTGAGGCTCAGAGCGCACCCCCGCCAGCCAAAGGGCCCTGGCCTCCTCACCTGGTCCGCCTGCGGCTCTCAGCACTGGCATCAGCTTTCCCAGGCTGGCCAGCGTTCTGTGGGCACTGGGGCCCCCCAGGACAGCGCGGGCATCTGCCAGGAGCCGGGAGACCCTGGGGACAGAGAGAGCAGGAGGCGGGGGCTCGGCAGACACCCCCGTGCCCGGGGCCCCCGCACCCACTGCTGCTGGCTCACAGGGAGTCCTTGAAGTTGCTGAGGACGCCGGGCTGCTCCCCGGGCGTGGACTGCGGGAAGCAGGTGTTGTTCAGGTTGCAGATGAGACCCTGGAGCCAAGGAACGGTGCCGGCCGAGGGCAGCGGCTTGTTGGGGAAGTGGCCTGTGGGGACGCTGGGTGTGGGGAGCCTCGCCTGAATCCCCTCCCTGTTCACACCCTCCCCGACAGCATGCTCTCTCAGACTTTTATTGGGTGCCCGGCCTGTGCTCTCTGATGCTCACGGGGGCCCCTGTGGATAGGGTGGCCCATTGCCTACGCCCCCCCCACAAAACAAGCCTCGTCCCTGGGGGGCTTACATTCATGGTGCTCAAGTGGGGGGTGGGAGTGGCGGACGGCCACTAGGATGAAGAAGAGAAAGAGAGGCCACAGCAACTCCACCAAGAGCTGGATCTGAGGGAGGGGCAGAAGAGGGGGACAGTGGGGGGCAGCCGGGGCCACTCCCCCCACCCCCGGGCCCATCCGTCCTGGCATTACCGGCTGTCTCCTGCGATACAGGAAATTCTTCCAAAGCAGCAGCACTAGCTGCGTCCAGAAGGCCATGGTGGGGATGGACAGAGCACACGACCGAGCGTCAGGCTGAGGACGTGCTGTGTGGCTCTGGGCGAATCCTGACCCTTTCTGAACCTCATTCCTCTATCCCATGGTGCAGGGCTCCTGGAAGCTCTGCCTGGAGCCAAAGAGCAGGCACTCCTGAGAGGGTCTCTTCTGTGCCTGGGGGCGGAGTGAGCCAACGGGAGCCCTGCCCGAAGCCGTCCTCGCACCTGATTGGTTGCCTGGGCTGTCCCTCCCTGCAGGGCGGGGGTCCAAGAGGCTATCCGCTAATTCTTCAGGGGGAGGAGCCTCGGCTCAACTCTGCAGTCACCAGGCTCCACCCTGAGCTCCCGTGGGGGTCTCCAGGTCCCGGCCCCCAGCCTCCTCCCGGGCCCTGGGAAGGAACGCCCCACCCCCGGCTCTTCCCCAGGGGTAAAGGCCAAGGGTTTACCGTGCTGAGCATTTTGCACGCCTGGCTGGAAGCAGGGCCTACCCGGCCCCCCAGAAAGGCGAGCCGAGTCACCCGGCTGGAGGCAGGCGCCCGCTCTACCCGCCCCTCATGTTTATCGCTGAGAAGACCCCCCGCTCTACCCGCCCCTCATGTTTATCGCTGAGAACACCCACAGGATCCCGAGGACGAGTAAGGAGAAGAGGCCGCGATGCGGGCTCCTGGAACCAGCCATTTCTGATGCCGTCCCTTGGCTAGAAACTGTCCAGCTCTGGCCTACTTCATTATTGTACCGAAGAGGAACTGGGGCAGGGAGGTGCCACAGGCCACGTACGAGGCTGGAACCAGGACCCAGGACCCCCGACGCCCCACGGCAGGCTCTGCTTTCCCTCAGGTGGGAGCTGGGGCACAGGGCTAGTAGGAACTCCAACGGGCAGAGGCGCTTGCAAGTGCGTGTGGGCCATCCCCTCTCAGGGGAGTCTACTGCCCAGCCTCCTCCTCGAGAATTAGTGGTCCATCCTGCCGCCCTCACACTAGGGGCGGGGAGCGAAGGTGAGCGAGGGTCTGCACTCCGCCCTCACCCCCTCGTTCCCGGGGAACCTGCCTCTCTCCCACGCGCCCCCGCGCCCCGGCATCCTCGAGTCTCGGAGGCCGGCCTCTCTCTCGCCGGGAGCCTCTCACCTTTCCAGCCCCCACCTCGTGCCGCCTTCCCTCCGCGCGACCGCGGCCCGGGGTCACGGCCCCTTTAAGAGGAAGCTCCCGCTGCTGGCCCTAAGCTCCCTGAAGTTGACCGCCGGCACCTCGGAGGCCCGCGGCCGCGCCCGGCCCCGCCTCCGCCCACTACTATTGGCTGCGGTCCCCGCCACCCGCAGGCCGGGCCTGCGCTAGCCACGCGCGCCGTGGGAGGAGGCCGTGCGGAGCCGGGTTTCTTAAAGGGGCCGCTCGCCTCTTGCTGCGTCACCGTGCGGCGCTGGGCGGTCGGCACACCCCACACGGGCCGACCTCCGGACACGCCGACCAGGCTGTCTCCCCACATTGCACACCCGCCTGCAGTGCCGCAGCTCCGTGTCGAAGGAGGTCCTTTCTCCCCACTCTTCCCTGGGGGACCCGGAGCCTAGCCAGACTCGATCCATGACCCTGGGACTCCCATTTGTCCATCCGCAAAGTGGGGGACCGATTGGTCATCATTTGTTCATCCCACAAATCTTCCTTTGGTCCTACAGCGGGCCAGGCGATGGCAGGAGGGGGAGGGGGCCCCCAACGTTCTAAGATTAGAGTCCTGGGTCATAACGTCACACCATTTTGAGGATACCTCGGGGTCCCGTTCCAGAAGGTTAGATTTCCCGAGCTCCTGGTGCAGAGGATACAAGTGTATGGAGCTGCAGCCCTGAAGGCAGCGGGAGGGTGAGACGTGCGGGGAGGGGTGGGGCTTTGCGGACGAGCCGTGTTTGCCAGGCAGGGAACTCCAGGCTGAGTGAACGGCGCAAGCGGAGGCCGCGCGACGGGACACCAGAGCTGTCTGTGGGGCTGCGAGACCCTGTCCAACCAGCAGGGAGGTACAGCCTCTCCCCCGCTCGGGTCCTGACCTTCTTCAAGTTCCTTCTTCACCCCACACTGCATTTGCCCTGCACTCACCTGCCGCCTCCTCCAAGGCAGCCCTGAGGACCTGCTGGAGAACGGCCTGCCGCCCCACCCCAGGGCCCCAGGGCCCCCCACTGGGACCCAAGCCAAACCCTTCCCCCGAGCGGACTCCCAACTCCACCAGCAGTTTCTTCCTTAAAAAGAGGTTTTTATTGCCTTTGGTCCACAGTCAACATTTCACATTATCTCTTGGTCCCAGGGCTCCTGGATAGGGGCCAGTCCCGGGGGAGGACCTCTGGGTGGGGGTCCCTGTGCAGTACTTGGCAGAGGAATGGGGACAAGTACAGGAAGGTGGGGGGGTGGCTCTGCCTCAACCACTCAGAACTCTGTTGTCCTACCTCAGTTTCTCCACTAGCCCCCGGGGCGAGCCACAGGTGAGTCCAAGAGAGCCAGAGAAATCCAGTTCCTCACAAGACCTCAAATATTTCGGACTATGACCTGGCCCTCTCCCAGGGGGCCTCCTTCCTTCCCAGCACCCCCTTCCACCATCCCCCCACTGCCTTGCAAAAAAAAAAAAAAAAAGTCTTCTTTCATTAAAACTGCTTGAAACTTCCGTGGGTACAGAAACCACAAACTGATCAGCAGAGAAAAGGGAAGAGAAGGAGAGGCAACCGGAAACCATTCAGGGTTGGTCCCCTCCCTGCCCCAGTTTCTTCCCCCAAACCACTACAGCTCAGCCCAAAGCCTGCTGGGAAACCAGTGGCCCGCGTGAGCCCCCCACACCGTGCAGATCTGCATGTGCTTCACCCCTTCCCCACAAGCCCTCAGCTGGTAGCGCTCAGACAAGGAGAAAAACAAGCCGAAAACAGAAGAACCCCAAAACCACACGGAGCGATGTGGGGAGACACCCTGCACGGGCACCTCAGTAGTCGGCCTCCTCCTGGTGGTGGTAGGGGGTGTACTCCGGGGCCTCCCCGGGGCCTGGGCAGTCACCTGCAGCCGCAGAAGCCCCATCGGCCACGGGGCCTTGGGGGCAGTACTTGGGGTCATAGATCTGCCGGCCTAAGCCAAAGACCTGGCCGCTCTGGTTGGCGCCCTGCGTGTAACCCATCTGCAGGGACATGGAAGAGTTGTCACACTTGTCGGTCCCCAGCTTGGTGTCGTAGATGTGCCGCCGGGTCCCCGGAGCCGTCATGCCCACCTGGACAGGGAGGAGAGCGCTTCAGGCCTGGAAGAAGATGCGGGGAGGGAGGCCCCGGGAGCCCCCGCCCCAAATTCCCCCACCATCCCCAGCTGTCTCTGCCCTCAGCAGCAGCTCCGATGGGGTCCTTCTCCACCCCGCTTGGACGCCCTCTCTGCTGAGTTGATCCCCACGACCAGTGACCCCCTCCCTGGGAACCAGGGGCGTCTGGGTCCAGCTCTCCCTGCCAGCCAGGAAGCTCCCCAGGTTGGGGCTGAACCCCCCCCCCCCGAAGAACCCGAGAGTTCCAAGACCACCCTACAGACACGTGCAATGTGCAGGAAAAGTGAGAATCACAGGATCTAAAGATACCGGGGTTGAACGGGCCCCTGGGCAAGCCTCTGAGGGAGACTGAGGCCCAGAGCCCAGCAGCAACTTCCCTGGGGACACACAGCAAGCTGAGCAGAGCAGAGAAGGCACAGGCCGAGAAGCGGAGAGAAACCCCGGGTGGGATTCTCCGTGGGAGGCAGCCATGGGGACAAGGAGGGGTTTGGCGGGGTGGAGAGGTGGGCGGGGACTGGGCGGCCGGAGCGGGGGCCCCACCTGGCTAGCACACTTGTTGGTGCCCATCTGGAGGCTGATGGTGGAGTGGTCCATGGGGGGCAGGATATGGTTCTTGGGGTCGTACAGATGCCTTCTTGTGCCATACGCCGTCATGCCCGACTGACTGGCACATTTGTTGGTGCCCATCTGCAGGGCGGTGGGCAGGAGAGGTCAGCTGTCCCCCCCGGCCCAGGCCTCTAGATCCGGCCCCGAACTTGAGGGGGCACGGAGCTGGACAGGGCCTGGGTCCCACCGGCAGCCCCCACCCCACCATGGCGGGCACAGGGCTGGAGGCCGTGGGCGCCCACCTGGAGCCCAATGACGCACTGGCCCGCCTTCATGGTGGCGTCATCAAAGTTGCGTTCCTGCTTTTCTGAGTATTTGACGCCAATGTCCACGCCACTCTGCAGCCCCTTTGTCTTGGCCTGGAGGGGAGGGGTGCTGGGAGTATCACAGAGGGGCAGCCGGGACCCTGAAACAGGCCCAGACCCGTGCCACCCTGGGGATCGGGCTCCAACCGCCCCCGACCCACCTGGCACCCAGCCGTCTCGCCCCAGGGCACAGCTCAGGACAGGAATTCTGGGAGGCGTCCTCACCAGCCACCCTCTGCCTCCTTCCATCACCCCAACCCTCCAGCAACCCACCTGCTTGCCCGACACCTGCCCCTGCCCCTCACCCCTCGCCGGTCTCCCCGCCTCCATTCCCCACGTGGAGGCCCCAGGGTGCTCCTGAAATGCCATTCCACACGCAGTTCCCTCCTCTTGAAATGCTGTTCCAACCCTGCCCGGTCACTAGACCCCACACATGGCCCGATCCCCCCTTCTTCAGGCTGCTTCTCACAATTTAGAACTTATTTATCATCTATAAGGAAGGGACTGAAGATCGAACCCTAGTGTCTACTCAGGTCTCTGGGGGATGTTGGTGTGTCTGCTGAGGCTCGCGGACTCTGACAAACAGCCCCACTCTGGCACGGGGCGCTGGTGTCAGGGAGGCTGCCTGTCGCCACTGAACCCCAAGGGGCAGGAGGGAATCCGGGGCATCTGTTAGTCCACATGGACCTCAGGGCGGGGCCCCGGGCAGGTCGCTGCCTCTCTCTGGGCCTCACCTTCCCGGCCAGGGCGAGAAGAGACACCTGCACCTGCGTCATGTTCCCGCTCTCAAACAGGTCGTTGGCCTCGAACAGGTCCACAGGGTTCATGCCGTAGCTGACCATGGCCTTGATGAAGGTGGACAGGTTTTCCAGCTGGGCGGAGGGAGGCAGGGGACAGACCGTGAGGCGACCCTGGCCTGCCCACCTGCCGGGTGGAGGAGGTCCCGGCGCCCCCTCCTCGTGCTGCCCCCAGCCCCTCACCTGGTGCCAGTTCTGCATGGAGCGGTTGATCTTGGGGACGGAGCCTGGCTGCAGCTTATTCATGAGTCTGGGGGGGACACACGGGGAACCTGCATTACTGTAGGGGAACCTCAGAGACCCGAGACACCACTTCCAGTCTTGGCCACACCCATGCCTCCCCAAGCAGCCTCGCTGCCTCTCTTAGGCCTCAGTTTCCCCTCCTGGGATGCATGCTTCACCGGCAAGGAAGCAGAAGCCCAGGAGTGACGGGGGCCGGTGTCAGCGCCACGGCTGGTGGGGGTGAATCCGGGAACTCCCAGTCCGCGGGGAAGCGCAGAGGCGCTCCCGCTGCAGGGAGGACGGAAGGTAAGGATGTTCGTTCTCAGTAACACAAGGAAACAAAAGACAAGACCCGAGACCCGTCACGGGGAGAGTGGACAGGCTTCCTGCAGTAGGTGGAGCGTGACCGCGGGGCGGGCAGGGCACCCAGCAGCGGCCAGCACACGCACTCACGTGCACAGGATAACTCCGTCTTTCAGACCCTTCTGGAAGTCGGGCCCGATGGAGAGGCCTGTGAGTCCCTCGATCCAGCTGCGGAGCTCTGCCTCCTTCTGGGGGTCGTACTTGGACAGGAGCTGGAGGGGCAGAGGCACGGGGAGGGGGTGAGCCCAGGGCCGCCGCCCGCGGCAGCTCCAAGGCAAGCAGAGACCCCCACGGACAGCCCTCCCCTTCGCCATCAGCAGCACGGGCATTCACAGGCGCAGACACCCCCGGCCAGACACACTCCGGCTCTGGGCGACTTGCGGCGGCGCCAACCCGCGAGGGACCTGCCCCCGCGGCCGCCCAGCCCCGTGCGCTCCCTGCACCAGAGAAATTGCCTCTTCTCTGCTGTTTTTATTTATTTATTTATTTATTTTTAAAGATTTTATTTACTTATTCACGAGAGACAGAGGGAGAGAGAGAGAGAGAGAGAGAAGCAGGCTCCCAAGGAGCAGGGAGCCCGATGCGGGACTCCATCCCAGGACCCTGGGATCATGACCTGAGCCGGAGGCAGACGGTCAACCATCTGAGCCACCCAGGCGCCCTTCTCTGCTGTTTTTAAATGGTTGTGAGATGCACATGACGTTTACCATTTTTACCATTTTAAAGTGAACAGTTCAGTGGTTTCTAATACACTCACAATGTTGTGCAATTATCACCTCATTCTAGTTCCAGAACATTCCATCACCCCAAAAGAAACCCTGTTCCCATCAGCCGTCACTCCCCGTCCCTCTCCCCAGGCCCTGTCACCTCTAACCCCCTTCCCGTCCGCGGATGAGCCTGTTCTGGACGTGTCACCCACGTGGACTCACACCCCACGTGGCCTTCTGTGTCTGGTTCCCTCCCTGAGCGTCGTGGGCTCGGGGTCCGTCCCCGGGGCCGCACACATCGACACCTCACCCCTGTTCGAGGCAGAGGGACGTTCCCGTGTGTGGATGGACACATTGTGTTTATCTGTTCATCCATGGATGGACATTTGGGTTGTTTCTACCTTTCGGCTATTGTGAATAATACTGCTATGATTACCCATGTACAAGTTTTCACTTCTTGTGGGTACATATCTAGGAGTGGAATCACTGGGTCACATGGTAACTACATGTTTAACATACCGAGGAACCACCAAACCTTTCTCTCTTCCTTGAACTGACCATACCAGTTACTGCCACAGGGCCTTTGCACAAGCTGTCACTTCTGACTCAGATGTTCACATGGCTGGGTCCCTCCCGTCAATCCACTCACCAGTCCAGCTTGAAGGTCATGTCCTTGGAGAGGGCTTTCCTGACTACCCCGGCTGTGAAGCTCTCCTCATACCCCTGTCTCCCCCACCCTGCCTTATTTTCCTTCTAGCTTTTATCTTTATACAATATGCCTCCTTGCTTATGATCCACCCCTCGAACTTTGCCGCCCAGCTCAGTGCTGTCTCCACAGTCCCAGGATAGTGGGATAAAAATGCTCATGGTCCCCCATCAGTGCACACCATTACCCACAATCACGTACACACATCCTGTTCCCAATGGCAGCATCTCAGGGCACCAAAGGCAAAGAAAGCCAGGGGCCCAGGGAAGCCCCAGGAAGTCAGGCAGTCCCAGGCCAGTGTGTGGTGTGAGCAGACACGGTCAGCCCCAGGGCGGCTCCTGGGGAGGGGAGGTAAGAAGCTGAGTCCAGTCCCCGTTCAGCTGCAGACTGTCCAGTTCAGTGGGCTTTTTGCTCTAGACCCACATCGATCCTTGCCCTGGACACTTTCCCCTCCTGCCCTTCTGCCCTCACCAGGGGACCGGGACCCCACAGCCACCCTCTGTAGACCCAATTCCTACTCTCAGCTCTGCTCCCAGCTCCCTATGACCGTGGACACAGTTCTCTCCCTGTGCCTCAGTTTCCCTATCTATGTCTGGAATTGTTTGCACAAGGGCCTCCTGAAGCAGGCCCCACCTCTTGGTTCCTACATATAAACACCGCCCCCCGCCCCCGGCCCCGGGATCAGGACTGGGCTGACCTGAGTGCAGTAGAGACAAAGGCAGGGAGGCTGGCCTGCAAACTTGATCCTCCCCTGCCCCCCGGCCCCCCCCACCCCCCACCCCGCCTCCGTCTTCATCTCCTGGTTCCCACAGCCCCGCAGCCCTGCAGCCCTGCCCTGAAGAATGACAAGCTGAGCTTGAGGCAGGCCGGCTCGTCTGGACACCTGGCATACCTGCCCAGCTGGGCCGGGTCCCTGATGGCTCCTGGGGGCCGGGGTCCTGGGCAGAGGCGCCTGGCCAGCCCCGCCTGCAGCAGCCGCCTGCACCCCCCACCCCTGCTGCCCAGCCGGCCTTCAGCACATTCCTCCTCACCGCAAACTGCCAGGAATGCAGCTGCTGCATCCCTGCTAAATCGGGACCAGCTGTTCCCAGAGGTCTAGACCCCCCAGCCGGCCGGAAATCCAGTGACTGCTCAGGGACACGGTGGACAACAGCCTGCCTTCATGCCAACCAGCCTGCGGCAAACTGAGGCACACGGGGCCAGGCAGCGGTCTCCAGAGGTCTTAACGTCCTCTTAAGTAGCTGGTCAAGTGGGCAGGGCGTGGGTTTCAAGGCACAGGAAGCTGGTTTCCAATCCTGGTGCGGCCCGAGTGACCGTGACAAGCTAGCCACCGCCCTGCCCATTCTCCAGGCCTGCAAACTGAGGGCTGGTCACAGGGAGCCTTCTGACCTCATCCCAGACAGAGCAGGTCTCAGCAGGCCCCATCCCACTCCGTCTGCGGAAGCTGCCTGCACACTGGCCAGGGTGCCACCCACTTCCTGCCGCCCCAGGGGAGATGCAGGGGGCTGCCCACCAGGGCCAGTGGCCACCAGGCGCTGGAGGCAGCGGGTCTCGGTTCGAGTCCTGACTCTGCCGCTCGCAAGCTGTGTGATTCTGGGCAGCTGGTGTGACCTCTCTGGGCCCCACGTACAAACCCACGGGGCTCCTAAACTTCTTTGGCGTTGAGCAGGGCAGCCCGGGAGCACCTACATCGGTGTCAGTGTGTGAACGTTCCCCCCATGCCTTTATTGCTGGAGTGGAAAGAGCACGTTTAAGGAAGGTTCTGGAGCCTTAGTTCCCCAAGCCTCAGCCTCCTTCTGTCTAAGGAGCTGGAGGGAGGCTCCTGGGAGCTCACAGGGGCCATGCAGTCTCCCTCGGATCCGCGATCCCCGGGTGCCTGTGTGTGGGGCAGGTGCCCGTGTGGGGCTGGCAGGGCTCTGCCTTCCACATGCCCAGGCAGGCTCCCGGGGGCTGCTGGCTGTGGGGCTACATTCCCAGGTGCCCCAAGAGAGGGTGGGCAGGGATGACAAACTCCCCTCCGGCTGGAACGGCCTTGAGTGACTGGCCTAAGACAACTCCCTGGGTCTGGGAGCACCCCCTGCTCCCCCTTCCCTAGGATGGACCCTGCTGTGTGACCCTCCACAAGCATCTGCCCCTCTCTGGGCCAGATCAACAAGTGCTTTCTCAAAGTGTCTCCCCCAGGCCCCATCCCGTGTTTCTAAGTTACAAACCTCACACCTTTTAGGATTACATTCAGGGGGCCCCAGGCATCCTGTAGACCCCTTTGCCATCGCTTTAACTTTGTCAGATGGGGACAAAGAGAAGTTACCAGGGAGCAGCTGGGCCGCCCCCTCCGTGCTAACTTCCCCCTTGGTGAGGTTCCCCACCCCAGGTGTTAGAGGTGGGGAAATTCCTGTGGGGGGGCCACACCCTTTCAAAACAGGGCAGGAAGGGCCCCACTCCTTGCCCCCCTCCTGAAGCTTATGTGGCCAGGGAGCCAGGAGGGGCGGCTGGGGTCCCCGCAGACCCTCTGGGCATTCTCAAGTCCTCGCAGCGCTGGAGGGGCCCGGGCTGTGGGGCTGAGGGGGGGGGCGGGGTTCCGATGGGGGAGGGCTGGAGGAAGGGGTCAGGCCCAACCGCCCCTAGATGTTGGGGGGCGGTGCGGGACCACAGACCTCACCGCTCCCCCGGGGCTGAGGGAGCCTCGGGGACGATGCCCCCGGCACAGCGGACGTTGGGGGGAGGAGGGCCATCCTCCTCCCGGGTCTCAGAGCCCACCGCCCGCCACGCGCTGGGGGCGCACGGCGCGGCGTGCGACGGCCTCGGCCGGCGGGCTCGGGGGGCGCGCCCCTCACTCACCCGGTTCTTGACCTCGGCCGACAGCCCGTACGAGGGCCCCTTGTTGAACTGCGTGGAGCTCATGGCTGGCGGGGCGGCGAGACGGGCCGGGCCGGGACGCGACGGGCCGCGACGGGCGCGCCGGCGGGGGACGCGCGGGCCTGGCCGCCACGCCCCCGCCGCTGATTGGCCCCCGGCGCTCATGGCCTTATAAGGCCGGGACGCGCCGGATTCCTGCGGCCCTCACTTCCTGAGCCCCCTCGCCGCCCCCGACCCCCGCGCCGGCGGGGCGGCCACCGTCGGCCCCGCGGAACGGCCGGGCCGCAGGGGCGCGGAGACCGCCCGAACAAGGCCGTCCTGTCCCCTCCCTGCTGGGAGACCCTCGGCGGCCCGGTTATTTGGGGCGGGACTCTCAGCCCCCTGGGGCACGAATGAGGACTCCTCTCTGTCGCACAGAGGCGCCTCCCGCTCTACCCCCTTCCTGGGAACTCCCACAGCTGGGTGGTGGACAAGGGAACTAGGGCAGGCTCCTCAAAGGAGGGGCCTTTTGAGCTGGGGCTTTGATGGATGAGTAGGAGTTTGCCAGCCCAAAAGGGATAGCGTTCCCGGCAGAGCAAAAGGTGCAAAACCCTGAAGAGACCGTCAGTGGTTGAAAGCATGTAGAGGTCAATCAGACAGGTTGGGGAAGGGGGGTTGGAATGAGAAGGGGCTTTGAATTTCCCACTGAGTAATGATAGGCAACGCGGAGGGAGTAGAACAGAGACTTGAGGTCAGGAGATGTCCTGGGGGGTAGAGCTGAGGCTGTTGAGTTCTCCAGGCCAGGCACACACTTGGTGCTCAACACGTGGTGTGTGCTTGTACAGATACAGCAACCAATCAATCAATGACAGAATAAATGAATTTACTTGTTCAGTAATTCATTCATTCATCCGTTGACACAACTACTCATTGCTCAAATGCTCCCTGACCTGGCTTCTGGGCTATTCCCTTGCTAGGAGATGCTGGCTCGCAGGAGACCTTAGGTCCGTCCCTGCCCATTACTGGAAAGACAGAGCTGGGCACAGACTCCTACCCCTGCCCCATGTGAGCAAGTATGGGACAGAAAGAAGAGTCTGAAAGAGGGGTGGCAGAAACTGGAGGGGGAGTGGGGGCTCCAGGAGAGGTGTCAAGGAAAGCTGCATGTAAGAGGGGACATGGGAGATGGGGTTTTAAAGCATGAGTAGGAGTTTGACACAATTGACAAGCAGCTCATTGGGCTCAGTGAGGGCTCAGAGATGACTCACCCCTGCCCTTTCCATGGGAAGCACACCTCCCCGGTTCCCCAACCCCTGGATATCTGTTACCTCTCCACCTCTCATTCTCCCATTCCATCTATCCGAAGATCCTTTCTCCAGGGTTCAAGTCCTAGCCGGTGGTCTTGGGTGAGTCCCTTGGGTCTCAGTTTCCTTGTCTGTAAAAAGGGGGAACCAGCACGCAGCGGGGAGTCAACAATGAGACAGTGCGGCTCTGAGGGTGGGGAGAGTGCAGTTTGTTGGTATCTAGGTGGGGAGCTGTGAGGGTGGTAGGATCCTGGCGCAGGGGCAGGGGGGTCAGGTAGACGCCTTGTGGGTCCTGCTGGGGTATGGGAGTCAGTGGGACCCACGGCGCGGTGGAGAATGGCATCGGGAAGGGTGCTCAAGCCTGTCCCCTGGCCCCCACCCTAGCCTATGGTGGTCAGTGGCTGCCAGCAACATGCCCATGGTTCTCCTTGCCATGCCCAGCCTCTGGTGCTTGGCCAAGGAGCCGCCAATGACTCTAGGGACACCATCTGCACTGGGAGGCCCTGGGATAGAGAAGTTGGATGTGACACCTGCCCGTGCCCACTCAGGCAAGCATGTTCGCAGGGCAGTGGCTGCCGGTGTTCTGAGGCGCGGGACCCCCAAACCTCCTAGTGTGCTGTCCGTCAGGGACAAGGGGGGCCAGCCGGCAGCTCTGCAGCCTCACCACCCCCACCCAGTCGAGCCCTCCAAGTGTGGTTGGGGCGCCGGAGGAGGCCCAGGCTTCCCTTCATAGATTTTAATTAATCCTGGCTTAAAATTAAATTCAGATTTTGCAAAACATCTGAGCACATTTGGAACAACTTGGGGATGTGTGTTTTCCTGTTCAGTGTAAGTTTTACACAATCTAGCTATGGATGAATATTTCCAGAGACATGAGCGTGGGGACTGAGGTGTGCGGGGCGTGGGGAGCGCGCCCCCCAGATTTGGAAGACCTCATGCAGAAGAAGGTATAAATTGGTACCTTGTTAACTTTTCATACACATTACTAAAACTGTTCTCTTTTAGTTCTTTCAACATGGCTTAAAATTTAAAATCACGTGTGTGGTCAGGCTCATGTTTCTATTGGCCGACGCTGTTCTGGACCCTGGGCCAAGTCCAGATTCCAGGTTTGGTTTGGTTTGGTTTTTTGGGGGATGGCTCTTGAGCTAACAATTTTGGGGGGGGTACATTTTTAAGTGGTTGAAAAGAATCCTCTTCTGCAGCATGTGGAAATCCTACAATATTAAAGTGTCAGCTTCGAGACACAGTTTTACTGCCACCCCGCTGTGCTCGTTCGTTTACAGCTGCCTTCATGCAAACCCGTCCTGAGCGGAGCTCTCTCTGGGCTGCCAGGCTGAGAATACGGGCTTTTGGCCTTTTACAGAAAATAGTTTGCCCACCTGGGTTCTAGACACTCAACCTCCCAGAACCCAAGAAATCCAGACTCAGACATCCCCAAACTCAGAATCCTGGAGCCTGGAAGCTTAGGACATTATAATTTTCGAAACTTCGCCTGAGGACCTCAGATTTATGGGATTACACAATTCTGTATAATCCTTTGGCCTCGGTGCCCCCACTTGCAGCCTGGCTTCAAATCCCAACTCCCCACTGGGCTGTGTGATTTCATGCAGCAAAGACACTTGGCGTCTCCAGGCCTCCTCTCCCCATCTGGAAAGCTCCTTGCAGCCCCTGGGTTTGCTGTCAGCATGAAACGGGTTAATTTGTCAAGCACTTGCAGTACCACAGGGTTATCTAAGATAAGGGTTGTCCAGTCAACACACGTCAGTATCTTAGGAATTCTGGCCTCGTTGGGAACCTGGCAAGGAAGTCTGGGACCCCTGCAGCCGCCCTCTGCCCATAACCCCCAGGGACTCACTCATTCCCCCAGGACTGACCCCTGAGGAGACTGCAGGGGATGTGGAATGATGCAGGACTCAGGGGGAAGGGGGCGTCGGTCCCCCAGGTACTCTGGGGTGGGACCTCGGTGATGCCTGTGGGGCAGGAGGCCACAGTTGGAGGACCTGGGGTTACAGGGCCCCCCAGAGCCTCAGCCTCAGGTACTGGGTTGGGGGCTGGGCCTGGGGTCCTGGTGGCAAACAATCATCTCAGGACACCTGCAGGCAGAACAAGCCCAATGCAGACAACAACAAAACAGTAACAGTAACAACAGCATCTCAGAGGAGGGAGTGGGGAGCCTGTGAAATCAGGTCAGGAGCCTCCCTTGCTCAAAATCGGCCCTGCTCTCCGAGGCCCCTCCCCTGAGATGTCCTCCAGGACCCCTCCCACTGCTGGGTGAACTCCCCACCACACTGGCCTTCTCACCGTGCCCCAGTCCCGTCTCAGGGCCTTTGCCCTGGCTGTGCCCTCTGCTGATGCTCCGTCTGCCTGGCTCCTTCTCTGCCCTCCCCCCTGCTGGAGGGGGGCCTCCAAGCTTGGAGGGCCAGCTTCTCGTGAGCCTCCCTGAACCCCCCAATTAACTCTCAACCCGCCCCAGACCGGCTTCCCGCCCCCTGGCCACCAGCACACCTCAGACGCCTAGCAGCCGTGCCTACAGCACCCTGGGACACCCAGCCCAGCTTCTCACTTCCCCGACGGTCCCCAGAAGCGTGGGTGTGGTGTGGCATTTGGTCCTATTCTATCGCTTTGGGCTGAGACTTCCAACTCTCCTTGGCCATTTTTCTTTCTTCGTGAGGGTGGCTTTCCAAGGAGGTCAGCAGTCGTCCACTTGCTTCGGCGGCCCTGAGTTTCTGCCACACGGCGGGGACCTCTAGACAGCGCGGCAGCCTCAGGGGGCCATTTCAGTGTAAATTATACGCATAAAAATAAATGGCTACATTTCACATGCTGGAGGCCTTGGACCTCGCTGGACAGATGAGCACCTGGCAATGCCACCCCCCCACCCCAAGCGAGGCTGGGTTTAGGCTGGGTTTACCCTCCAGGTCAGAGGGACATCTGCCTGCCTCTCTGTTGGGAAAGACAATTTTTTCCTCCCTTTGCAGGTAACAAGTGATTTGGGAGTACTCCAATAATTTCAAGAGTGTGCATATATTGAGCTCTATGCCAGGCCCAGCTCTATGTGCAGGGCACTCTATGAAACAGGAAGAGAATGATCTCAGCCTCCCTCCTGGTCGCGGTGGAGTGGGACACCATCTGCGCGGCCATCTTCTGGGTGTGCGGCTCCCAGGATCACAAAACCTGGCGGGTGGATGTGGAAGGTTCTCTCAGCTCCCTGCTCACAGCTGAAAGGTCTCCTCCCTCTCTGACCACCTCCCGCATATCCTGGACTTTCGCGGAGGCCCGGTCGGCCGGCCTCACAGTGGGATGCTCGCCCTCAGGACCCAGACCACACATCAGTCCCCCTGCGGGTCCTTGAGCTCTGTGCGGGCTCAGGCCCTGGGGCACCCGGAGCCGCCTTCCCCATTTGCAGCCGGCCTGGTGTCCACTGTCTTTGGCCAGGGCAGCCGCTCAGGCGCCCTCATGCCGTGCTTCCAGCCTCCCCCTCCGCCTGTCCTTCCTGTTGCAGCAGGGAGCGTGGCCGGGAAGCACCGGGCATACAGCAGGCACTCAGTGAATGTTCACCCGTTATTTCTTGGGCGGTTGAGCCGCCTTTGGAGGATGACAGAAGGAGGGCGCACGTGGAGTGTGCTGGGCCGTGCGCTGCCCGGCGGGAGGGCGGGGGAGTGGGCAGGCACACGTCTGGGCCCAGCCGCAGTCAGGAGGACCGCATGCCTGCGGGTCCAAGAGCTCCTGCCTGAGTCGCCGGGACCGTTCCGGGACCAGGTCCGCCCTGTTCGGGGTCCCGCATTGTCCACGCTCTCGTCCCCTCGCGGACGAAGCTTGCGCGGGTGGCA